CCTTTAAAATGAAAGCAATGCATGATATCAGAAAGGGTCAAATAATGTAAGTGAAACTTACTTGTTTATTAAGAATTTTCTCTTATCAAAAATAACAAAGTTTACCATTCTGACTGGATACTTGAAGCATTAGGACTTGTTTTTCAGCCCATTTGCAGTCTCTTTGCTATAATAGCAATTTGAATTTACTATATTTGGTCTTGCATTAATGCTAGCAAACTGTTCACCGTAATCTTCTTATCCAGTTACAAGCTTCTTTCATCATTGCAATACTTAGCTCCGTTTCCTATTTATGAGAACCAGTGAATACATAAATGATTTTAATTTATTTCATCATGAGTATTAATATTTATTGGAAGTATTTTCATATTAGGTATAGCCAGTACATACAGAAATATGAATTTTGTTAATTTGGCTGCCACTCTTTTTTTTCTTCAGTAATCAGACCTGTGTTTTGTTTTTTGGACTCTAAAAATCAGAGTTCAAGTATTTTGGTGTTTTAATCTGAACGATCTCCTAGTGGAATCTTTGGAATTTTTTTCTTCTATTAAGGTAGAAAATATCCTGAAAAATGGATAACATTTTATTTTATTAGCGTATACTGCCCAAGTATATACTACTGAATTGTTGTTGTTAGGTGCCATCGAATTGTTTCCGACTCACAGCGACCCTGTGTACAACAGAACAAAACACTGCCCCGTCTTGCACCATCCTCACAATCGTTGCTATGCTTGAGCCCATCATTGCAGCCACTGTGTCAGTCCATCTCATTGAGGGTCTTCCTCTTTTTAGCTGACCCTTTACTTTACCAAGCATGATGGCCTTCTCCAAGGACTGGTCCCTCCTGATAACACGTCCAGAGTAAGTGAGATGAGGTCTCACCACCCTCGCTTCTAAGAAGCATCTGGCTCCACTTCTTCCAAGATACATTTGTTTGTTCTTCTGGTGTATTCAGTATTCTTCACCAACACCATAATTCAAAGGCATCAGTTCTTCTTAGGTCTTCCCTATTCAATGTCCAGCTTTCGCATGCATATGAGGCGACTGAAAATACCATGGCTTGGGTCAGGTGCACCCTAGTCCTCAAAGTGACATCTTTAGTTTTTAACACTTTAAAGAGGTCTTTTGCAGCAGATTTGCCCAATGCAATAAGCTGTTTGATTTCCTGACTGCTGCTTCTCTGGGCTTTGATTGCTGAGCATACAGATTGAATAAGAATGGTGAATGGATATACCCCTGATGCACACATTTCCTGATTTTAAACCACGCATTACCCCCTTGTTCTGTTTGAATGACTGCCCCTTGGTCTATGTACAGGTTCCTCATGAGCACAATTAAGTATTCTGGAATACTTATTCTTTTTTGACAGTAGCTCAAAACCGAACCCTCTGCCTTCAGGTAGATTTTGACTCATAGCTACCCTATAGGAAAAAGAAGAACTGCCCCATAGGATTTCCAAGGCTGTAATTCTTTATGGAAGCAGACTGCCACATCTTTCTGCTATGGAGTGGCTCGTGGGTTCAAACTGCTGACCTTTTGTTAGCAGCCGAGCGCTTTAACCACTGGGCCAACAGGGCTCCTTAATAGTCACGTAGTAGGTACAAATTAAATATTTGGATATTGCTTGATTTGACCACTAATATTTAGATGTTGTGGGCAGAGCATGAACTTTTAAACACTGGCCTTTTGCCTAGTTATTTCCTGTTGAGTTCATTACTTGATCAATTCTGCCACAGTTCCTGCTCCTGTAAAGTGGTAATGATAATAGCACCTCACAGGGTTGCTGGCAAGATTAAATACTGTATGCACAGAGCTGTGTGATCACTGAAGGTCCTGCACATATCTTAACTCTCTCTTGCTTTTAGTGACTAACGGCTCCACTCTACTGTGAGTCTGGACTGCAGGCAAAGTCTTGTTTGGTTGGGTCCGTGGTGCTGGGCCCTCAGTGACACTGGTGTATGACCGCGTGAATGAATGGTGCATACTTCGTGAGGAAAATTGAATCTGGAGAAGTTGCTTCTTGAATAAGGTTACTCAGTAAGGTAGCAAAGTGATGCTTAAGACCAAGTTGTCTTCTAGTTCAAGTGTTTTCTCATGTTTTGGTCACTAAATACATACAAATGCACCCCCACCCCCAGTTTCGTAAATCATGGGGATAATTGTATAATGGCTCCAGACCAGCATTACTGCTAAGTTTTGAGTTTTAGAACAAGAAAACTGATCTCTTCTACTTGAATAGTTCTTTCCAGATAGCCAGTGTGCCTTACCCAAGGTTACGTACCCGCTTAAGTGAAAGAAAATTGGAATGAACTCCGTCCTTCTAGATCAAAATCCATTGCTTTTTCCAAGATAACAAGAACTGAAAATATATAGAACAGCCTTGAGGCAGCTTTTGAAATTCCTGGACTTAAAGATTTTTCTCCCTCTCTTGTAGTTCCTTATATGATACATCATGTAGATATGTGTATTACTGTGCTAGGAGTGGACAGTCATTTTCAGACTTACTGTAAACACTTGTTGATTCTTATTTGGAAATCATTGTGTCTGACTCATATATAATATAGATTTTTTTCCAAGAGATAGTTATTCTGGAGCAGATTTAAGATCTTATGACCTTAAGGAACTTTCTTAATCTTTCTGAACTTCAGTTTCTTCATTTGTAAACTAGGTACCAGTACATACCTCGCAGGGTCAGATAGAACTGGAGATACAGGGTAAGTAGATTAATGTGGTAAACAGTCTGGCGTATAGCGAGTTTAAGGTGCCGTGCGTCACGTAACTTCTAAGGGCCTGAGCTACAAAAGTGTCATGGACCCAACATAGTGTTCTATTCTGCCTTATTCTGCTGTGGGTAGGCTTTTAGTCTGCAGGCTTTGGGTTGTTGTTGTCTTTAACATAGATATAATCACTGCAGGGAACATCCTCTTGCGTAGAGCTCTTTGACCTCTTTGTTTTAAAATCTTTAATAAGTTTCTAAATGTGGAATTACTCAACTAAAGGGAACATCCTCTTGCATATAGATAGCTCTTTGACCTCTTTGTTTTAAAATCTTTAGCTGAAGTTTCTAAATGTGGAATTACTCAACTAAAGGATAGGGATATTTTATGACCCTTTGTATGTATCGCTAAATTGCATTCCAAAGTAGTCTACCCAAATTATAGAGCCATTTGCAGTATATATGCTTTTTAAGGCTTCCTAACCAGTGCTGGGAGCCCTACTGGCGCAGTGGTTAAGAGCTTGGCAGCTAACCAAAAGGTCAGCAGTTCGAATCCACTAGCCACTCCTTAGAAACCCTATGGGACAATTGTACTCTGTCCTGTAGGGTTGCTATGGGTCAGAATCAATTCCATGACACAGATTTGTTTTTTGTTTTTTTTTTTTGGTTTAACCAGTGCTGGCATTATTGCTTAAGTGCAAAATGGGCCTTTTAGTTTCTTTTAATTACTATTTTTATTAAGTAGCTATTTTATATGTCTGTTTAATAATTTTTTCTTCATGGCATTTTCCATTTATTTGTTGGTCTTGTTTCAATAAAGGGTTTATAAATTAGACACTTAGATATTTTTGTCATATTTGCTACAGAGCAGATCCCTCAGTCTTTTGTTTGCAGTGTAATTTTTGTTTAAAGATGATTTATTACATTTTTCTATGATGATTTCTCAGAGTAGAATATGTTCACTAAAATATAAGGCTACTTTGGAATATACTAGTTTTGTAAAGTATAAAAGGAGGTTAACACAGAAAAGTTGTAAGTTTGAAGGATGTTATGTCAGGTCATTTGTACACATTTAATGTAAATATCAGTGAACTGTTGGAAACCTCAAGGTAGTAATTCTGCCAAAGATGAGCTGTGAATACCTCCTCATGAAGGAGCCACAGGAAGAGGCTGAGAACCCAGTTAGGAAGCTATGGACAAAATATAGACAAGGTATAAAATCTGAGCTAGGTTAGTAAAAGTGGATAAGATGGAACAGAAAGGAAGAAATTGTTGAGATGGAAACAAGATTTTACTCATGCATTCATCCGTACATTCACTCAGCAAATATTTGGATGCCTGCTGTGTGCCAGGTGTTATTCCAGTTGCTTGGGATTCATCAGTGAGCAAAACAAAGATTCCCGCCTTCATCTGAGCTTCTATCCTGGTGAGGGGAGACAGATGATAAACAGTAAGCACAATAGGTAAATGATTTAATAGGCCAAGTGCTATGGGAAAAAGAAAAAAGCAGATTAAGGGTGGTCAGAGTGGGCTTCATTAAGAAGGTGAGATTTCAGTGAAGACTTGAAGGAGATGAGGGAGTTAGTGAAGTGGATACCTGGGCATGTTTCAGGGAGAGGGAATACAGAACAAAGATCCTAAATCAGGAGGGTGCCTGGCATGTGGACTAGTAAGGAGGCCATTGTGGCTGGAGTGGAGTGCATTGGGCTAGGGGCGGGGATATGGGGGAGTAGTTGGAGATGAAATCAGAAAGGAGATAAGGGGGGTACAGATTATGTGTTATAGATACATAATATGTATAGGATTATGAATTATGATTATGGATACATAATTATAGGATTATAAGAGTTCAGCTGCTAACCAAAGGGTCGGCAGTTGGAACCCACCGGCTGCTCCTTGAAAACCCTATGGGGCAGTTCTGCTCTGTCCTGTGGGGTCGCTGTGAGTCGGAATCGACTTGCTGGTAATGGGTTTGGTTTTGGTTTTTAATTATAGGATTAGGTATAGGATGAATTTGGTAAGGGGTGTGTGTGTAGGGGGTGCCAGACAACTTTGGAATAAGTTGTTACTGTATCCATTTTGACCTGGTGTCTTTGAGGATGGGAGAAGACATTTAACTTTCTCATTTCTTAAGTAGTTATTGAATTAGCATGCTTTTTCCTATTTATGGCAGTTTGATATTTTTCCCTTTATTTTAAATAGCCCATTAATGTTCAGAAACTTGAACTTATTGGTTAGTTTACCCTATTAATAATCTCTGTACTTTTTGTTTTTTTTTAAACAGGAGTATACTGCTGCTGTTCTGCTTTGCGTCCTCGTTACAAACGCCTAGTGGACAACATATTCCCTGAAGATCCAAAAGTAATTTGATCTACATCTACTGATCCTTCTCTTTGCTGACCCATACTTCCCCCTGCTGACCTCCATAAGGTTTCCCTAATTTCATTTCTCTACTTTTACCCCTAAATCTCAGCATGCAACTACTGTTCTGTACTTGTCTCCTTTTCTCTTTTTTCTGATCCATGTTAGCTAGCTTGTCCAGTTTTCAGAGTCTTTTCATAGACTAGGCATAAATCTGGAATGACGAGCAGTAGACAATTAAATCATATTCTTTTGTAGTCTCTACAGTGCGTGAATTCAAGTAGCATTCATTTATCAGAAAGTTATTAACTAGTGCAGATTATTTGTGCTAAATGCTGAGAATAGAGCTGTGAACACAGACATGGTTTTCTGCTGTCACCAAGCTCATAGACAAGGCTATTGGTCATTGTTCTTCTGTGGGAAACAGTGCTGTCAGAGAAGGAAGTACAGGTGCTACTTGAGTAACATCTCCTTTGGGCTTGGGAGAAGAAAGGCCTGGAGGAAGTGAAATCTAAGTAAGATCCAAAGAATAAATAGAAGAGAATTGAGAGGTAAAGGCAGAATGTTCCAGACAGAGTTTGTTCTGTTTTTATTTAAATGCTTTTTAAGAAAATGCTTTTTTATTTTTATAGAAGTTATTTTATTGTGGAATATTACTAGTTTCAAAGCTACTGGGTTTGAATAATATTATTTGAAATTGTCTTAAACTTTCTGTATTAACGATATGAACAAAAAAAATTACAAGGGTTTGATTTCCAGAATTTGTCTTATTTTAAAATATAGCCAACTGTAGAAATCTTTTGGTTATCTTAACATTAATTTAATGTTGATATATCATATTTTTAATCAAATCTAATTTAAACATTCAGACATACAGAGGAGATGAGTAAATTGCATAGTGTTGGCTGCCAGGTATCCTGCTGAAGTGTATGGGAGGCAGCTCACTGGATATTTTGTGGCACATAAACAACTCTTAAGATATTGTGCCTACCTTTAAGGAGCTTTACATCTGTTGACTGGCATAAAGCAAAGCGTACTAAATATTAAATTACAGTGCAGAAATCAGTAAGCAAAATACATAGTAAAAGAGACGGTAAAGTTTTTGTCCTTAAAGCAGGGAGGTATCACTGTGGGCTGGAAAGTATTGTCATTGGAAATCAGATATGCTGAGCTTTGAAGGATGTATACTATCTGGAGAAGTAGAGAAAGAGTGAGGCTGGCCTGATAGAGAAAGGACGTGGGAAAGAAAGAGATGCTTTTGAGGTCAGTAGCAAGTTGATCCATCCGATTTGAACTGCAGGCTCATAGAGCATGACGGGTGGTAATCATGTTGACCATCATTTCTGATTTGAAAACTCAGATGTGTCATTTAATAGGCCAAGTCAGGATTTCCCTGAGGAGTCTGGGACAGATGGTTGCTGAAGATAAGGTGGAGGCCAGCTTCTGGAGGAACGTGAATGATATGCAAGCATTTGTTGTATCTGCTTTAACTTGTAGGCAGTGAGGGTGCTTGGCTCACTCTTGAACAGGGGAGTGATGCTATGACAGGTAAATTAGAGAACGTTTGTAGAAGGAGTCTTTATTTGGCCCCAGATTCATGTAATTTATTTAAATAGCAGTCTTCAAAATAAGATTTAAAAACAAAAGGAGTTTGAGAGCTGCTGGCCTAGAGGGCAGTGGGAAAGTAGGGGTGCTTTGCAGGTAAATTTTAATCTGACAGCTTTCTCTTAGAGAAGGCGGCGAAGAGTTCAGTTGCTGTCAGAGCAAGAAGCGAGGTGGCAAAGTAGCAAGCTTGAGGAGAGGGGAGTAGGTTCCAAATATGAGGGAGCGGCTCCACCAGAGAAGCAGCAAAATAGCTGGAGAACGTTGAGGAGCCTGCTGCAGTTGAAAATGCAAATTTATAATTTTTTTCGGTTGTCGATTCATCATCTAACATGGGTTCTCTACCTCCTCCTTCCCCATGCCCTGGTCCTAAGCAGCATTTAGTTACTTGGACTGTATGACCAGGAAATGTAGGGTGATGGTTGACATGATGACTCATGTCAAGTCGTCATCACAGGGTGGGGAGAGTTGTTAGTCTTGTTGCACATCACCCTTTAGAGGGCAGAGACGCTGACAGTGAAATAATCCATGTCGAGGCCCGTTGTTGTTTTCGCTTTTGCAATACATTGACTAAGCATAGATTTATACAGTTCTGAATGCTTTCTCATTCATTAAGTACAACAAAACTTTGTAACGATATCAGCAAATTCTGAATCATTAAAAAAAAGCACTGTATTACTGTTGTATATCTAAAGGAGTAAAATAGGCATAATATTGTTACATTTGAAATTTTGAAATTGAAACATTCTGTTCAAAAAGCTCTTTTCACCAAAATACATTCCTTCCCATACATACTGTAGTTAGTTCAGCTATTTTTCGATAAAAGATGGTGTTATAGTCTAATTCGGTGTTTGTGAAGATGCATTTAAATGCTTTTCCTAAATGGGACATTTCTTTACTTTTTGAAAGCTGTGTGCATGTAGTACTTGAGTATTGGCACTAGGGAGTCTGTCTGCAGAAAAGTTCAACCTTAACATGGATGTTAGTATGCACAATCCAAAAAGGAGAAATGTAGAAGCAGCAACTCTTAAAAATACAAAAAAAAAAAAAAGAGATGAAAATATCAGTAACCTATTTATCTTGTTCTTATTAATATTTTTGTAGGATGGCCTCGTTAAAGCTGATATGGAGAAATTGACATTCTATGCAGTATCTGCTCCTGAGAAACTGGATCGAATTGGTTCTTACCTGGCAGAAAGGTTGAGCAGGGATGTTGTTAGGCATCGTTCTGGGTAAGGAAACAAATTGCTAATAAAGGATGTTTATCGTAGTAGGTTTATTTTTCCTTTACTTTCCGCCTTGGTTTAAGGACTTTACATTTGTTTATTTTAAATTTTTTATCTCACTGTGACCAAGAAGAGGCATATATGAGAAATTGGGGTGCAGCTGGTGTGTTTTTTGGAGCCCTGATGGTGCAGTGGTTAAGAGCTCAGGCTGTTAACTAAAAGGGCAGTTCGAATCCACCAGCCACTCCTTTGTAACCTTATGGGGCAGTTCTGCTCTGTTCTGTGGGGTTGCTATCAGTCGGAACCAACTTGACGGCACACAACAACAAGAACTGGTATTTTTAGTGTAACTTGTGAGCTTTATGAAATAGCTTCAGTTGTCTGCTTGCAGTGGGTTTAACTTGACCTTGAAGGTATTTGATCCATACTTTTATCTAGAGACTACTAGTGAACCTTCTAATTATTAATGTAAAATTGTTTTGCAACTCTAATCTTATTAATAGAAGGATAATTATATCTGGATTCTTATACTATTTTTAAAAAGAACCTTGAAAATCCTGACTCTTACATAAGCCTTATGATTTAAAATTAAATGATTTGTATTCTTAAATTATGCCTCAAATCTGTATCCCAAAGAAATCTCCTTCTGTATAATTTGTAGTAGGGATTTTCAGTGACTTCATAGTCCATAGTGTTTATCGTGCTTGTATAGTCAGAGTTGATGAAGGATGTGACAGTCTTTGTAATGTGATCAAATGTGATACAAAAGCGAGACCATTATTAATATATTGCTTGTTGTTTTAATGAGTTGGAATGGACTCAGCAACAGTTGGTTTGGTTTTGTTGTTGTTTTAAATGTGTAATTTAAAATAGCATTGTGAAATTTTAATTTTGAGATAATGCCTACTAATATTGTGCCTTTGGAAAATCCTTGTTAGGCTAAATCATCCTATAAATTATTTTGCCATCTAGTCAGGCAAAAATAATAGATGGCAGCTACATTGTAATATTATATGAACAAGTGTGTTCTATTCGCATAGATGCTGTAGCTTTGTTCCTTTCCTGGTGGTTAGGCTTTGCAAATAGGCTCCTGTTAGTTAATGGAGTTGCCTTTAGCTTAAGCACCCATTAATTTTTGAGGCTTCTCAGTGGGGAATAGTAGAAATTGACTCCCTTTTTCTGTCAGTGTATGTGATACTGTCATTTTAAAATCAGTCTCTAAGCTGAGAACAAACAGAAAGATCCTGTTAACCAACTTTTTTTTTTTAATTTTTATTTTTTTAACCAACTATTTTTACAAATTTTCACACAGTTATAGTTTTATTTATCAGGGAAGATGAGAGAGGACTGTGTTAGGCTTAGATACCAAGATTCAGAAGATGTCAGCATGGTGATTTGGAAATGTGCTGGCTCTACTCCTGCCTATAAAGAAAGGTCTGCCATCTTAATCCACTGTCTGTGCTTAAACAGTAATGACTCGCAGTTTGGATTCTAAATATTTTCCCATATTGTTTCATAGTTCTAGTTTCTTAGAGTATTCCATTCTCCAAGAGATATATTGACTTTTCTCTACCCTACCTTTTTTTTCCTACTTAGTACATTTTATTGTCTTGGCAGAAATAATTTTATTGTTGATTGTTGAAAGAAAGTTATCTGATAACTGAATTTTAATTTTCAGTACACAACTTAGAATCTGATAGGCTGTAAAGTAAAATTTATGAAACTTTTTTTTAGAGTATCCTGTTGTTGCCAATACTGTTTTATCTATTCAGATTTACTGATATGAGCAGATTCTGCTGGGAATTTTAGGCACATTGGGTATAGTAACTGTTTTGGGTCAGATATAGAGAAATATGATTAAAAGTCTGGAAAATAGAAGATGTCCATGTTTACAAAGAAAAATTTACACAGCAGTGATGTTAAAGCAGCTTTGAAAGCGTTTTTTGTAAGAAGGAGAAAATGAAGCAGTACAGTGTAGTTTTTGTATACTTGAACATGAGGACTGTTTTATAATCTACTAACATCACTAGGGAGTCCATGGATGGTGTAAACAGTTAACATGCTTGGCTGCTAACTGAAATAATGGAGGTTGGAGTTCATTAGTAGGTACTGCAGAAGAAAGGCATGGTGATCTACTTTCAAAAAATCAGTCATTGAAAACCCTTTGGAGCACAGTTCTACTCTGACACACATAGGGTCACCACGAGTCAGAGTCAACTTGATGGCAACTGGTTTTAAGATCATTAGTTCTGTGTGAAAATTAAGATTTCATTTAGAAGTGACTAAATTTTGCCTTTCTGTGTTCTTTGTATTTAAATAAACTTAATTCAGTTAATGAAAAGCACTTATGAGAATTAAGAGAGCGAGCAATGCCTTAACATTATTTTTCTCTCACATCAGGTATGTTTTAATTGCTATGGAGGCATTAGACCAACTTCTCATGGCTTGTCATTCTCAAAGCATCAAACCATTTGTAGAAAGCTTTCTTCGTATGGTAGCAAAGCTGCTGGAATCGGGGGAACCAAAGCTTCAAGTTCTTGGAACAAATTCTGTGAGTAAAACCATCCTCTTAGGAGTTAAAAGTTTAATTAGCATATCTAGGATTATTCTCTTCTTAGTATGTCTTTACATTTTTCAGGAAGTCTCCTATAAATCTAATATTCAGAAGTAATCATTTTAATATTTTTGATTTGTTTATTTTATATATTAGAAAATTGGGAACATGTTGTATATAGGGAGTTTCTGGGTGGTGCAGGCAGTTGACATGCTCGTCTGCTAACCAAAAGGTTGGAGGTTGGAGTTCACCAGAGGCACCTTGGAAGAAAGGCCTGGCAGTCTACTTCCAAAAAAGCAGCCATTGAAAACCTTATGTAGCATGTGCTACTCTGACACATATGGGGGCACCAGTGAGTCAGAATTGACTGGCTGGCAACTGTTTTACTGACTGTAGTATACAGAGCTTTGTGTAGTTTTGTTATTTACAGTTTTTTAAGCATTTTCCCATGTCATTCAAGGTTTATTTTTATAAAAAGTATTAGCTGGCTTAATACTTTCAGAATCTGTTTATATATATATATATGGTTAGTGTGTGTGTAGTATAGGAATCTTGAAAATTAAAGAGTCGTCAAAACCCTGGACGGTACTGCCAGTTTCACCATTTTGGAAACTGTTATTTTGGACAAGTGACTTAGCTTCTGAACTTCTGTGTTCCTGTCTGCAAAGTGAGCTGATGGCGTATTCCTTCCAGGGCTGTTGGTGTGGTGACGTAAGAAGCCCTGTGAAAACCCCTAGCATGGTGCATGGTACAGAGTAGGTGATGAATGTCAGTTTAATCCGAACCAGGTGCAGTGTTTGTGGCCTTGTCTAGATAATCATGAATCATAGAAAACTATAATTTAAAACAGATGGCTTAGCTCTGGCTCAATTCAGAATATCTTTTTAGTATGATTATTTCATTTTTTCAAATTTATTCTTTTCATATTTCAGTTGTGTTTCCAACAGAGTAGCGATAGATTTGGCTAAATAATTCTTTTGGATATACCTTTCAAAGCCATCAGTCTTCTATATCCTGACAGTTGTTTTTATATATATATTTATATAT